TGAAACAAAAAAATCACAAGACCTACAGAATTATTTTATAGGTGATATATTTCATTTTTATCTAAATTATTCTGGTTGCTTGTGTATTTGTTTATGTAGGCATTCCGGATTTGCTGAAGTCAATAGCTTCATTGGGAGTGTCTTCGATCCAGACAGTATAGGTCATGAGCAAAAGCTCAAGGAGATGGATCCCATTAATTTTGAAACGGTGAGTGCACTGAAGATTTTGGCTATTTTCTTCAGTTTTCAAGTGAAAAGGTGACATCAAGTATTATGTTCTTATCCATCTCTTGACAAAGAGGCCATAGAGAGTTGGTTGTATTTGATGGCAAAATGGACCAAGCTGGGGGTATTTTATAAAGCTCAATACAATTACCTAAGAGTGAAGTTAATGAAAGGATCAATACCGGTTGCTGGAAAAAAAATGTTGCAAAGTTGCAAACTGATGTCATGAAAGAACAGCTTTTGACTTTTCGCTCTCACCTGGAAGAGTTTGCCACACAAACACAACGTCCCTTTATTTACTTAGATTCAAGTTTCATTTAATTTTTATAAGAATCTACTAATTTATTTAATTCTCACTTTTATATTGGTCATGAATGGATCATTTCCTGCTAACTCAATTGATACAAAAAACGTATACTTAAGGACAGTAGGAATTATGGGTTGCCGAACTACTGGAATGCCAAATTATGCTCACGGAATAATTTAGATGTTTAGTTTATCCTTTTAGTAGAACTCTTAAAGTACAACCCAATTCTTTTTAAATAAAGCACGAGCTGTACTGATTACAACTCGAACATATGATAAATTCAATTGTTCACATTATTGACATTATATAACTAAATGTTTACATATTCTAAAATATATAGTCATTATAATGAAATGTCTTACAAAATTATAACAGTCATCGTGCAACGCACGATCCGTCACTAGTCTACAATATATGAAAGATGAGATTTCTTTACCATTCATAAGGCGTCATCATGACGTAATGCTGACGCCATACATGTGTATATCAATTTTTTTAATCTCTATCAGTGCACTTCCTTTCTTTCCATCGTTTCTCATTCTTGCGATTTTAGATCCCATATTCCAAATCAAAACCCAAACAAAATCACATAACCTCTCCTCCATTTCAAACTAGTAATAGGTTGTAAAATCACAGAGGTTTTTTTTTCTTCTCTATTGTTGCTACCACGGCTCGTACTTCGCCTTCAAATCGGAGATCTAGACGGCGATGATGGAGTAGACAGAGGTGGATTTTATCTCGTTTTCCTCTCTTTCAGCAAAATTTCCTTAATTTTTGTTTCTTTTTTGTGTTCGAGTACATTTTCGTATGTACCTTTTCTCGATTTTCCCTTCGCTTCAGCAAAAACTTCATAAACTATATTTGAATATTAGAGGATAAGAAGTCTCTATTTCTACAACTGAATCGCAATCACCCAAGTGGAATTTCAACTTTTTGGCAGTAGACTATCAATGATAGAAATTTGTGATTCACTACTTACATTTTGAATTTCGTTTATATTTTTCTTGTTGTTGTCACCATATTTTGTTTTCTTCACGTCAATGGCAGCAAATTCTTAAATAGTTGGTTGGTTATTTAATTTGCCTTTAGAACTTTAGTTCCACTTGTAAAAAATCAAGAGATTTAAGTGTGAAGCATTTTCTATATGCACCAGTTTCGTGTATTTGCTTGTATTCTTGGTGGTCAGTTTTGTAGCTTCGTTTTCTATTGGGTTTTCTTTCATGCTTCCTATTTCTCTGTGGCTAGATCCCCTTTGTGGAGAACGGTAAATCCTAGTGAAAATGTTAAAGGCAATTTTTTTGTACATTTGCTTTCTTCGGTCGAATTAGGTCTGCTGTGCTTTTTATCGTTAGTTTTCTTTATTTTTTTTCCAATATTTGGCTTTCTTAGACGAACCGCTGGCTCTGCTCATTCCGTCACTTCCCTGTTCACAAAAAAAAAAAAATTATTGTCGCTTTCTTGAGGTTTATTTACATGTTCTTTCATTTTTGTCGCAAGAGTTGGTTATCTCGGATAAAGGTCAGCTACTCTAATAATTTTATTATTTAACACCCTTTGGACCAAGCAGTGAATCCCTACTATCATAGCCGCCTTTAATTCCTCCCACCTAACACTCTTAACACCGGAGTTTGGTTGTTTTCATTTACTATTGAGTTAATGTTTTCTTAATTTCAGTTCAATCAAGCTAAAAACTTTTAAGAGTTGTGTGTAATTTTACATTTTTTTTTTATTATAGGTGCTTACTATGATGTTTAATTTAATTGCATGTGAACTTTTATGCCCCGTTGTGTGCTTATTCAAATTATGAAGAATTTAGTTTTTTTTTTTTATGTAAAGCTTTAAATTCCTATATTTAAACGTAAGATTGTTGTATTTGATATTTTATCAGTTATGCATTCAAGTTGAGCCTCATGTTTGAGGTATTGATGTTAACCTTTCTAGCCCAAATGATATTTATTGCATTCATAAAGTGGATACTGCGTTCACTGTTCATGTGCGTGGTTGAGTTATGTTGCTAAATGAAAGTAAATAATATTTTTAAATTTGAGGTAGTTACTTTGCATACATAGGCCAGCTAAAGCTATATGTATGTCTAATCTAAGTTCATTAATATGTATGGTTGAAAAAGATGTGAAGATTAAAATATAGCGTGCAAGTAAACTATAGCGCTGAACAACACATTAATGTCTCCAAATTATATTGTATAAAGAGAATACATGAATTGCATTGTTTACTCCACTGTTTTAAATATAATGTTCATAACGCATCATTGATGACATGACAGCGATGTCATGTATTTCTACCTTACCAAATTTACCCTTTTGCTTCCTTGCTATTTCTCGTGTCCATTTTTTCATCTTTATATCTTGCATTTCTTAGATCCCCTTTGTAGACAACACAAACCCTAATAGAAAAATTTTTATTTTTTTCTTTACAGTTGACTTCTTGGGTTGTATTGTGTTTGGCGTGCTGTTTACCTTCAGACGAAATTCAGATCCCTAAACGTGCTTATTTCGCCACATCCCTGTACACAATATCAAAGTTGTGTTGCCGGCATACGAATTATTTTCATTTTTGGATCTTTTATTTTTATTTTTGACCTTTTTAATTGTATTTTTCAGTGGTCAAAGGGTGTAATGTTTAGTGTTTACTCTTTGCTCCATTTGTATCTGCTCTAAAAGGGTTCACTTTTACATGGGTACAAAATTCATTTATGGGTAATTGGCACAAACCGTCCCTACCTTTGCATGGTTTTGTGCAAAACGTCCATACCTTTTGTTTTTTGGTGCAGAACGTCCCTACCTTTCACATTTTGGCGCAAACGTCATTTTCGTCTCTTTTTGACCATTTTACCCTTGTATTAAAATAAAACAAACACAAAAGAAAAGAAAAAGAAAGAATGAATTGTAACTATAGCTCAAACTTTTTAAAAAGTGCAAATAACCTACCAAATTTCATATTCTTCCCAAAACTCACCCTTGCCCTACCTTCACCTGCTGGGCTGAGGCGTTTCTTCTCTCTCCACCTCCTCCTTTTTCGATACCTTTCTGAAACCCTAAAAAAATCATCGATCTCAATGCCCTTTTCACATTTCCCCATTCAAAAAGAATTCTGGACACCCAAATTAAGAACAATTATGGGTACCTAAATTCTGGGCACCCATTCAAAAAGAACAATTAAGAACTGCTTCCTGCTTATACACTCGGCAACAAACACAAATGGCCATTGCGGCATCACCTGCTTATACACTCACCCATCACACCAGATTTTTTTTCAGCTTTTAATCGATCAAATTAATGCTGTTTGTTGAGTTTTTCTCCTGCTCAAATGAAAAGCACTATAGGCTCAGATGATGATCTTATTGTTCTGGGTATTGAAACTAGTTGTGATGACACCGCTGCAGTCGTAGTAAGTCTTGTGTTTTTTTGGGTTTGGTGGGCTTTCTTGCACCATGTGTTATTTTTTATTGTACTTTGTGTTATTAACGATTAAAGTTTGATTATTTTGAATGCAACTATGTTTGATTTACCAGAATGGTAAGAAATTGTACGTTCACCATGAATTAAGCAAACCCATATGTCATTTTCTCAATACTTCACCCAATTCTCTCTGCCCATTTTCTTCTCCCGCCAATGCACAAATAAAGAGCCTGTTAGGCTCACATGTTTATCTAGTTTTGTTCTGGGCATTGAAACTAGCTGCGAGACACTTCCGTTTGCCGTAGTAAGTTTTATGTTTGTGCGTGCTTATTTACAGGTTGGTGGGTTTTTCTTGTACTGTATTGTTCTTTTGTGGCTCTTGGTTATTTTTGTTTCATTGATGATGAAATTTTGGTTCTTTTGACTGTATTTGTGTTTGATTGCCCAAAATTGTTCTTAATTTGGGTGTCCAGAATTCTATTTGAATGGGGAAATGTGAAAAAGGCATTGAGATTGATGATTTTTTAAGGTTTCAGAAAGGTATCGGAAAAGGTAGAGGTGGAGAGAGAAGAAACGCATCAGGCTAGCAGGCGGCAGTGGGGGCAAGGGTGAGTTTTGGGAAGAATGTGAAATTTGATTGGTTATTTGCACGTTTTAAAAAGTTTGGGCTATAGTTACAATTTATTCTTTATTTTTATTTTCTTTTGTGTTTGTTTTATTTTAATAGAAGGGTAAAATTGTCAGAAAGATACGAAAATGACATTTTGCGTCAAAAATGTGAAAGGTAAGGATGTTTTGCACCAAAAAATGAAACGTAAGGACGTTCTGCACAATTCCATGAAAAGATAGGAACGTTTTGCACAATTTATCCTTCTTTTATTTGATGGTTAGATTTATGGGTTTGATTTTCTTCGTAGGAGTATCATTTTAAAGTCATAGTGCAACGCGCGATTCCCCCCTAGTTTTATAAAAACATAAACCTCCTGCCTTCACCGAGAGCCATCAATCGATTAATCTTCGCACGGAATAACTAGCGTGGGTGAAAAATCATGGTGAAAGCAGTCGTAGGCGATGAGACGCAACTTAAATTGGCCGAAAATCGCCTCACTCGATCTGCCATCCCATCTCAGGTCCCCTAAATTCCTGTATATATATATATATGCATAAATTCGCTTGAGCTTCATTTTCGGCTGTCGACTGATTTTATATATTTCGACAGGTGGGGCTTGTGATTGGAAAGCTGAGTTCGAAGTTGGATAAAGGATTTGTGTATGATTTGGTGCCTACGCCGTCGAACGATAATGGAGAGCCTCCATGTTCTCTTATTGATGGGGTTTTGGTTGGTAACAGTAAGAAGAGGGGGTCATCCAGAACCAAGTCTCACCCTGAGTCCTCCACTCTCTTCATAGACACTGATTGGGTGTCCGAGCATGCTCGTCAGGTCAAATTTCGTACTCAATTGAATGGTTCTGCCTTTTATTTCTAATAATTATATTTATAGTTGGCATGTTACAGATTTATGAATATTGTTAGCGTTATTGGATATCTCAAGTGATTCAGGGTTTTAAGATTATTAAATTTTTGCGTTATGCCTGTCTCATGGAAAGGTTTATCAGTTTGTGGGAAATTGGAGTATGGGTCTAGCAGTAATGTAGAGTTACAAGTATATTTATGTGGAAAATAACATACAAAGCCCCTGTATGATTTGGCTAAAAATCAAATTTTTAGTCTTGCTTGAAATTGAGTTTTAAAAAATTGGGGCCAAACCAGGAAAAAATAGAATATAGATTATTTAACAATCTGAAATTAGTAGCAAGTCCTCTGAGGTGATATTTTGTTCCCAGAAGGTTGAACAATTTGTAAGCCCTTCATTAGTAGTAACCCCTGAATTAATACACAAACATTGATAAAATTTTACCGTCAGAAAATTTAAAATCCATTCATTGGTGGGTTCTTCATGATTTTTGCTTCACAAATCATACCTTTATTGTGCAACTTCCATGAGAAGGTGGAAGCAGGAGAGAGAAATTTTGAAAAAATAACAGAGATGAATGTTACTGTAATTGAACGAGATGCAAGCATTGGTTTGAATACATTATTGCTTAATTTGTTTGCTTACATTCCTGCTACCAGCATAATGAAATTTCGATTCATCTTCAATGATTTTGCAGCAAATCCTGCTATCCACTGTGGAAGACAGCTAGAATTTTTATCTTTTGGTTTTCATTCTCTTTTTCTCCTCATTGATTTAGTTTTACCTGATATAGAGGGAAAAAGGAGGAAAAAAAGATCCTAGTAATAGATTTTCATCTATGCATCCTGGACAATACCTTTTTCTCGTTATTCTTTTGTCATTCTCGAAATTTAAATAAGTGGATCCAAGACACATATCTATGAATAGTGGCATATTTGATTGTTAGGGAGTGTTTGACACCCATTTTAATGGGTTGAAAAATTTTGGAATAGTGATTGATGGAAGAATGTGTGGTGGAAAAGTGATGAAAAGTTTTAGATTTGTGTGTAATATTATTTTATTTGAAGATTGTGTGGTTGAAATGAAAAAAGAGAATGAGAATGAGAAAAAAAATGGGTGTCAAACAGGGGCTTAAACACATTGGAACAGTATTCCAATGCTCATGTACCATTAATTACGTTAGAGTTATATTTTTCCATTATAGTTAAATTTAGACCTGGTAGATGTTGGTTTGGTTAAAAACAACCATCCTCATTAAAGAGCGTCAGTTTAGTATTTTGACCCTGTTTGAGTCCCATTTTTAAAAATTCACTTTTCAGTAAACTCACTTTAAACTATACATTCTCCCTGAAAAAAATTAATTTTTTATAAATTTATTCTCAAATATGGGGCTCAAGAAGGGCGCTTTCCTTTTCATAGATGAAGTAGGACTAAATTATTGTTTAGGCCTTATGTTTGTTTATGAATGTGTATATTGCCTTGTGTGAAGATAGGTGGTCGTATAAGTGACTAAGTTATGTTTTTCTGTGAGGCATGCCTACCAACTTGAAATTGCATAGAAACAATATCCTATCCAAAAGTTTAGCTACTTGGGTGAATTTTTCCAAATGTTATGCTCCTATCTCTATGCGTCCCGTTAAATGCACTCATTTTTTCGGCTGCAGCAATGCGGCTACCGCCGCTCTAGTCGTGGCTATCGCCGTCTGTGAAAAAGAAGTTAGGCCATGATCAATATTTAGAACCTTTCTCTTTAACAAAAAAAAAAGTGATTATGTATAAATATCTACATTGAGCATATAAAGCAATATACATGTCAAATCAAATAACCTAACGCTTCCCATACTAAAAATGCATTTTACACTAGGATTTAAAAAAAATCCTAGTCAAGGCTCTTAATAACCATTGGCTTTGATACAGTTTGTTGGTTATTGGATTTAACCATCGCAAGAGGAAATTAATTTTCCTTTGAAGATTAAACCCAAGTGATAATGGATTTTAGATTACCTTGAGGTTACTGGAATTTGTTTTTAAATCCTCACACATAAGGGTGAGATGATAGACTTGAAAGAGCTTTTAATGACTTAGCCAAATGCTTCTTCCCTTAGATCTTTGATAGACCTCCTATCATATTCACATACACGAGGAGAAAGAAAGATGGTGGTGCAGTCACGGGGGCAAGTGCAGGAGCTGAGGCAGGGAATCAAATGTAGTTTGGTATTGTTATCAGTTAGTTACTAGGGGTATTTTGGGGAATTGTGGGAGTGAGGAAGAGTCAATAAATGTGAGAGTGGGGGGAAAGGGGAGGGGATTCACGTTTTGGTTGAGTCTAGGGGGAGAGTCCAGGCCTCTCGAATGCCTTGGAGCTATTCCCTTCTTAGTAGCGTCTGTTCTTTGCAATTCAATATAAATAATCTTCTTCAGTACATCTCATATCGTTTCAGCAAACACCACTTTCTGTAGAATTCCTCTTAACTATTTTCAGGAACCTATCAAATTGGTATCAGAGCAATCGGTTCTGGCAGGATGACTCTTGCTGACCGGGTTAACGAGTTGGAAGCTAGTATTGGGGGAATGCGTTTGGAAATGCAGGAAGGCATGGGAGCCATGAGAAGGGAACATCAGAGTGAGATGACACTCATAATGGAGAAGCTGGAGATGATGGCGCGAAAGTGGGGCGCACAAGAGCAGGAACAGAAAGAAAAAGGGCCAGCAGCTGGCTCGTTTGAAGCCGTTGCCCAATCTCCGGTCAAACAGCAGGAGGTAGGGGCTAGTTCCGTTGACAGGATCCGTAAGGAAGAAGGGGGAGAGCAGAAGGGCACAGACGGAGGCTAGAAATGCCTATTTTCAGTGGAGACAACCCCGATGGATGGATTTTTCGAGCGGAGAGGTACTTTAATATGAATCAGCTCTCGAATTGGGAGAAACTTGAGGCAGCAGTTGTGTGCCTGGATGGGGAAGCTCTGGCATGGTACCAATGGGAGGAGAGTCGGCAACCAGTGAAAAATTGGGAGGAATTTAAGACACGCCTGCTGGAGCGATTCCGTCCCTCACAAGAGGGAACGGTCCTGGAGAAATTTTTGGCACTGTGCCAGGAGACGACGGTCAAAGATTATCGCCGTGCTTTCGAAATCCTTGCTGCTCCGTTGCCTTTGTTACCGGAGGAGGTTTTGGTGGGCAATTTTGTGAATGGATTGAAACCCACCATAAGGGATGAGATAAGGATGTGGAAGCCCCAAAGGTTGGGCCAACTTATGGAGCTAGCCCAGAGAGTGGAAGATAGGGATGAATCAATGAAACAGGCCCAATCATTTTTCGGCCAGTTAGAAGTATAAGCAGTCCATATAACTCCAATCAAAGCCTATCTTCTGGACATTTCTATTCCTCCAGCCCGCTGCAGAGAACGATGCAGTCTATTACGCCTACGACGATGCCCAGATCGTCCACCGCCGTCTCTGGGGTCCGTCCGTCGGTGTCGGTTAGGGGAGGGGTTCCTTTCAAGCAGCTCACTGATGCTGAGTTGCATTCAAAAAAAGAGAGGGGCCTTTGCTATCGTTGTGATGAAAAGTTTGTGCCAGGTCATAAATGCCGTAACAAGGAGTTGCGGGTGTTGGTTGTGCAGGAAGAGCTAGAGGACGAAATAGAGGAGGTCGAAGGAGAGAGAGAAGGAGTGGAGGAACTGATCGAATTGTCCCTCAATTCTGTAGTTGGGCTAACCACCTCCAATACTATGAAAGTTACGGGTTCCATCAGGGGCAATCTGTAGTAGTTATGATTGATTGTGGAGCCACCCACAATTTTATTTCAGCGGAGTTGGTCGAGAAAATGGGGTTATGTACAATGGAGACTCCGGGTTATGGGGTTGTAATGGGGACTGGACTTTCAGGTAGAGGGGTTGGAATTTGTAAAGGGGTACATTAGGGGTCAATCTGTAGTAGTTATGATTGATTGTGGAGCCACCCACAATTTTATTTCAGCTGAGTCGGTCGAGAAATTGGGGTTATGTACAACGGAGACTACGGGTTATGGGGTTGTAATGGGGATTGGCCTTTCAGTTAGAGGGGGTGGAATTTGTAAAGGGGTGGTGGTTTCGTTACCAGGCATAGAAGTGACGGAGGATTTTTTGCCCTTGAAATTGGGTGTACGGATATTATATTGGGGATGAAATGGCTAGGGTCCTTGGGAGAAATGCAAGTTAATTGGGGAACACTTACAATACAATTTAGAGTAGGGAGAGAGTTAATACAACTTCAAGGGGATGTAAGTTTGAGTAAAATGCAGGTGGGTATGAAATCAATGATGAAGGCATTCAAGGGTGGGGGCCATGGAGTGCTCCTAGAGTTGAGTAGTATGGGGGTTGTAGAAGTTGGGGCAGTGGTTG